TACGTCAACTGATTATTGTTTCTGGTATTGCCTGGAATTTTTTGAGTGGGTGCCCTGTACTTGCATTTCTTAAGGCTGCAACAAATTATTGTTATTAGTATTATTATTCCAAAAACACAATATGGTAAAGCTATTAGAAAAGTCTGTGTTAGTTCTGCTTTTAATGACCTTCCCGAGCTTCCTTCATGCCTGGTATGATCTGCTGAAAGTTTTCTTTACCTTAACATCCAGCTGTTTAGGTAGTACAGTCGAATCTCAGCGATTCGAACACGCCTAATTTGAACTTCTGGTTAATTCGAACTAATGCTGTGATTCCGTCAAAGCTATGTGTATTTCAATGGGCAAAAACGCTTTGTAATTCAAATGCGCAAGCACTTGTGACCATTAATTCGAACATACCGCACTTCAAAAATTCTTTCACCACCACGCCCAATGCCGCAGCGGCACCCCCGCCACCACAACGCTACGCGCGGAGGAGACGGAAAAAAAAAAAAGAATGGGCTGCGGCAGAACGCTTGCTCTTTCTCAAGTGCCGACCTGAGACACGCTTGTGCCACACTTCTTTTTCCGTCCCTGCCATTAAGACCCTTCTCCTTTCAATGCTGTGCACGGAGAGAGAGAAAAAAAAAGCAGGGTTTGTACAGGTTTCCAAAGCAAAATTCAAGGGTATTCAAGGACTTTCTAGAACCTGTCACAAGTTTACAAGGTCTCAAAGCAGCGTGCAAACTTGCGTTTCTTTACTTCAATATCTTCAAAGATGATAGTTTTATTCCACTTACGCATATGACCATTAAAATTAGGTAAATGAACATCACAATTATAACAAAAACATCTAGTAGTCCTGACAGGTTCTCAAGAACACAACATGCAATCAATGCATATAAGAGTGGTTGAGATTAAAAGAGTATTAGAGATAGCATTCATTGCTGCACTACACGGAAAAATGATTTTTTTTTTCACCACTGCAGTTATGCAAAACTGAACCATATGCACTCACGCCAAACTATTGTTAATGAACTGGGGAGAAGTTCGTCCTTTCAACACCGATATGCCACATCAAGGAGGTGGCAATGTCAATGTGGAAGTTCACTGCTCAGAAAATTCAAGGATTTTCAAGAACGGTGAAAAATTTGAGGACTTTCAAGGACCTTGAAAACACGTGCTTCAAATTCTAGGGTTTTCAAGGATTTCGAGGACCTGTATGCAGCCTGGAAAAAGAAAGCTGTCACAGAGTGTTGGCTCTCTCTCTCTCTCTCTAATGCCGATCTGCGACGCGCCGGTGCCACGCTTTTTCTTTTTCTGTCCCTGCCAAGTAGAGACCCTTGTCCTTGCAATGCCGCGCGTGAAGAGAAAAAAAAAAGAAGAAGAAGAAGAAGAAAGAGCTGCCGCGAGTGTTGGTTCTCTCTTAAATGCCGATTTGCTCCTCTCCGCGTGGAGATAGATGATCCTCCTTTCTCGTAATGTGCTTGCCACGCTCTGGCTGTGGCGCAGAGGGTAGCAGCAGAGACAACTGTCGTTGTCGTCATCTTCAGAGAGTGTTGGCGCTGGGCATTGCTCCGTGCAACTTCTCTGAAGCCGAAGGAGAACGCTGAAGCCGAAGTAGAAATGCTTTGCAAACTGCGTGCAAAATTGATTGACTCAATGCAAGGCAAACGTGTGCAGACGGGCATCACCGATTACTTCAATTATTGACAGATGTCCTGTGAATTGTGCATAAATGTATGTCTTCTGAAACTTCCCCCTCATATGTTAGCTCAATGCACATGTGCCACTGCATGGTGAGCCCTCTGTTCATTTAGCTTTCATTAATTTGAACTTTGAATTCGAACAAATATTTGAATCCCTTTGAGTTAGAATTATCAAAATTCAACTGTATTGCTCCTGCTACTTTGATTCTTATATTTTATTGCGTTTAAATGCAGTGTAAAAGAGGCACATGTCTTCTTTTTCCGATTATTTTACATTACAAGCTCTTAAATACGTAATTTATATATCATGTCCAGAGATCTTGGACATTTCCCCTCCAGCATTTTTTTGGAGCTTCACTGCAGTGCACCAACTCAACTGAATGGCGTGTGTTTTAAAAACTCTATATCTACTTATATTAGCCGAGTTTCAAGGGGTTTCAAGTAACATCGAATTTAGAGGGTTGTCCCTGAATAACATGAGCAGAAATTAAACTTGATAGATTTGTGGGGTTTAACGTCCCAAAACCACCATATGATTATGAGAGACGCCGTAGTGGAGGGCTCCGGAAATTTTGACCACCTGGGGTTCTTTAACGTGCACCCAAATCTGAGTACACGGGCCTACAACATTTAGCAGAAATTAAACTTGTTCATTAGTTTGTTTTTTAATTACAACGGTGTCTTGTAACAAGCATGCAGTGTAGCCACACTCCAGGAGCTCGTGTATCAACACCCTCCAGAGAGGCGCGATGCTACTACGTCAATGTTATTTGGAATCAAGTGGCTTGACGTGTAATAAAGTGTGGAGTACTGAAGAGAGGTAAGGTAAGGGTGGATTAGGATTTAGATTACTGTATAGAAAGAAGGTAGGCGATATATATATTAATACATAAATGCTACTATTAAAGGCTATATGCTACTTTCTCCACCTCCGTTAGCAATACATAACTCTTCCAGCGTGGGTTTCATCAAACGAAAAGAGATCGCGAGTACTTTGCCATGGCACATGTTTTGCGGACACCAGATCACGTGAGTAAGTCACCTGACTTTGTGCATCTTGCAACAGTCCATGGGTGATCCCCAAGCATATCGACATGGGCATAGAAAAGAATGGGCTTCGAAGCACCTCTTCGATAGTATGCACATAGCGCACGTCAGATATAGACGAGAAGAGTGTCACATAACAATGTGCAACTTTGTGCACCTCCATAATTACGAAAGAAAATCACAAGTTCTTGGCAACGGCACGTGTTTCGTGAATGCCAGCCCACGTGCGGAAGGCCACGAGCGAAAGGCATGTGACTTCATGCATTTTGCACCAGTCTATGGGTGATCCTCAACTATATTGAAATATCAAATGAACGAGCTTCAAAGTAGCTCATCGATAGTACGTGCATTCAGCGCGTCATAGGTCAACGTAAAAGTGGATCTAAACGGAACTTCTTTCACCTCCATGAGCGATTTCCAACTATTTTGACATGGGTATCAAGCGAAAGGAGATCGCGAGTGCTTTGCGATTGCACGTGTTTAGAGAACATCGGGCCTTGTAAGTCACGTGACTTCGTGCATTTTGCGACATATGATTGGTGATTCCCAACCATATCTAGTAGTACTGGTATGCTATGCAACCATACCATACTACTACCAAAATAGGTAGCATACTACAACTAGTATGCTATCAAAATGGTAGCATACTACTATTAAAATAATACTAATTGAGACTGTAAAAATAGGTTTGCCATTTATGCAATATGATGACAATAATTGATTGATTAATATGTGGGGTTTAACGTCCCAAAACCATTGTATAATTATGAGAGACGCCATAGTGGAGGGCTCCGGAAATTTAGACCACCTGGGGTTCTTTGACGTGCGCCCAAATCTGAGCACACGGGCCTACAACATTTCCACCTCCATTGGAAATGCAGCCGCGGCAGCTGGGATTTGATCCCGCGACCTGCGGGTCAGCAGCCGAGTACCTTAGCCACTAGACCACCGCGGCGGGGCATAATGATAAAAAATTAATTAGAAGCGTAAATCATTAGGGCCAGTACACAAAACATAACAAAAGAAGAAGCAGGCCGAGCGATGCTAAGGTCATCTTTTAAAAATCTGTTTGAATAAAATTGTGTAATGGTTGCAAAACCACTTCAAGCGGCACTAAAGTGGAACAGTAAATTAGTTTATATCAATAACCATTTCTCTTTGAACTCTGTTTCTTTATACAGAAATAAATACAGATCAAAGTATTATTTTTACAGATCTTGTCGGAATCTCCACATATGGCATCACCGATTTCAAAGCAGTTCTCGTATTCTGGTGCGTTGTCTATGGCAACCTTAGAAGTCAATCTACTTGATAATTTCCTTAACTGGCACACTCATATGCCACCGCTTTGTTTGAGTCCGTGGGGCTAGCCAGTTTTCAGCCTCAAATATGAAGGCAGGTTGGGCAAGATCGTCGTGAAGCGTCCGGGGTACGATTGGCAGTGCTCGTGGCTGCTTAACAATTCTTCATATGTGGAGTTGTATTACTCAGCGCTCGTTGGTGCAAATAAAGAAGCAGTAGGGCTTTCGAATAACAACAACGTATAATTTGGCAAGCCATAAAGGAGCACGTTTCCTGTCATAGCTGAAAGGACCAAGAGGAGTGCAAGAAGTTATAGAAGTATCCATTTTCTTGAGAAACGAGTACTTACTATAGTACATTCTGTGCTTGTTACAAGAACTGGGGCAGTGAGACGAACCCGGAATCTCCAGGAAACTGGCCTCTCTATTCTCTTTTTTTTGCCAAACTAAGCATCTTCCGGAACATTAAAGGGGTGGCACTATCGAACTTTGAGGCTATAACAAGCCTCCTGCGGCTGTCTTCTGTATGCAAGGACATACCACAGGAATGGTGGGACACAGCAAACGTTTAGCATACATATAAAGTACACTTCCAAAGTGTACCTCAATGCTCATTCTCTTGATCAACTCATCGCTGGCGCATGCAACACTGACACAGCTTTAGAGGAAAAGTAATAAAAGTTGTAGTGACATCACTCCACATGTGTAGCGACGTCAGTAGCGTTCACAACCTCCGCAACGTATACATACCGACAAAGCGTTGGTTACTGCATCACTTTCGGCGGCTCCAGCTACCCATTTCAACCGTCGGCGCGTTGATTTTGCTTGTGCTTCATTGTGTGGCACCTCTGTGCAAGAGCAGATAAGACGTACCTTGGTGTAGTTAAGTGACCAAGCCAACTACACTGCTATGTCATTGTGCACACCAGCCCTTTTTCAAAAGTAGCCAGTGAATCCCTAATATATCAAGGCGAAATACTTTATTGTTTATACTCGTGTACGTTTGTTCCTCCTTCCGTGCCCTGGAACGGTGCCTGGTGTGGTCTCTCCCCCTCACACCCTCTGAGCAATCACGTGATGGCACAGCAGCGATTCACACACCCAAATAAGAAAACACGACATAGTCCTCCGTCAAATGGCTGCAGGCTTTCGTCTGAACACACTTTAGAATTAGCAGTCTCCTTCAAACTTTCACAGCTTATTTTCACGTCGATTGGCCATGTTGTGCTTGCTTTGAAGTGCAGCTGTCATGAAAAAAGATGTATTACAGTAGACACATGAGTAGGGGCGCTCTCCTGTGTGAACGTGGATGTTTCATTATGGCAGTTCTATAGACGAAAAAGATGCATTTCAGCAGACAGGTGATAGATAGATATGTGGGGTTTAACGTCCCAAAACCACCATATGATTATGAGAGACGCCATAGTGGAGGGCTCCGGAAATTTCGACCACCTGGGGTTCTTTAACATGCACCCAAATCTGAGCACACGGGCCTACAACATTTCCGCCTCCATCGGAAATGCAGCAGACAGGGAAGAAGGCATGTTCTGTGTGAATGTGTATGTGCTGAATGAGATGGCGTTCAATCATAGATGATGCTTTTAGTGGACAAGAAAAAAAGACGCCCTTTTGTGTGAGCCTGAATGAGTGTCAAGAGGTTGCTCTTTGCGCAAAAAGGATGTATTGCAGTGGGCACAGTAGAAGGAGCTGTTTCCTGTGTTGTAGTGCATGTATTAAGTGAGTTGGCATTCACTCACATACCAAGCACTGAACATAAAAAGGAACGCTATGCCGTGCGAGTGTGGATATGTTTCACGAAGTGGCATTTCTTCACAAAAGATGCACTGTAGTGTACACAAGGAAATGAGCGCTCTCCTGGCTCAATGAGGCAGCGTTTCATCATAAGCGACGCATTGCAGTCCTCTCAAGAAAGGGGACACTTGCTGTGTGAATGCAAATGTGCATCACGAGTTTTCTTTCTGCGGTAAGCATGCATTACAGCAGACACAAGAGCAGAGGCGCTCTCCCCTACGAGAGCACATGCGCTGATGGACGTAGTAATTTGTCACAAACCATGCATTGTTGTGTATGCAAGAAAAAAAGAAGCTATATTGTATGAGTGCGAATGTGTATTACAAGGTGGCATTTCTTAGCAAAGGATGCATCACATTGTATACAGGAAAAGGGGTGCTCTGCCGTGTGGGTGCGGATATGTTTTACGAGGTGGTATTTCTGCACAAAGGATGCACTGCAGTGTGCGCAGGAAAATGGACGCTCTCCAGTGTGAGTGCGAATGTGTTCCACGAGATGGCTTTTTTGCATAAAGGATGCATTGCACTGGACACAAGAAAAGGGCCGCTCTCCTGTGTGAGTACGGATGTGTTCCCTGAGGCGACATTTTTTCGCAAAGGATGCATTGCAGTGTCCACAGGAAAAAGGACGCTCTCCAGTGTGAGTGCGAATGTGTTCTACAAGGTGACTTTTCTGAACAAAGGATGCATTGCACTGAACACAGGAAAAGAGATTCTCACCTGTGTGAGTGCGTAGATGCTCAACAAGACGGCGTTTAATAATAAACGTTGCATTGCAGTGCACACAAGAGAACGGACGCTCTCCGGTGTGAGAACGCAGATGTGCATCAAGGCTGGCTTTCCGCGAAAACGATGCATTGCAGTCTACACAGGAAAATGAACGCTCTCCTGTGTGGGTGCGTATGTGTTCCGTGAGGTGGCCTTTCAGCTTAAATGATGCATTGCAGAGAACACAGGAGTAAGGACGTTCTCCAGTGTGAGAGCGCAAGTGCTGCGCGAGGTACTTTTTAGTCGCAAATGATGCACTGCAGTGCACACAGGAAAACGGACGCTCTCCTGTGTGAATGCGGACGTGTTCCACGAGGTGAGATTTCTTCGCAAATGATGCATTGCATTGCACACAGAAAAAGGGACGCTCACCGGTATGGGAGCGTATGTGATCAGTGAGGTGGCGTTTAATAATAAATGATGCATTGCAGTGGACACATAGAAAGGGACGCTCTCCCGTGTGAAAACGCATGTGCAAAGTGAGGTAATTTTTAGAAGCGAACGATGCATGGCACTGTTCACAGGAAAAGGGACGCTCGCCTGTGTGAGTGCGGATGTGCCTCACGAGATGCACTTTCCGCGAGAAGGATGCATTGCAGTGTACACAGGAAAAAGGACGCCCTCCTGTGTGAGAACGCATATGACCAACAAGGTTGCCTTTCAGTGAAAAGGATGAATTACAGTGCACACAGGAGAAGGGACGCTCTCCTGTATGGGTGCGCACATGCGATACCAGCTGGGAGTTGTAAGCGAATGCAGCTGGACACAGGTGGCACTGTAAAGGGGGCTCGCCCATATGTTTTTGAAGGTGTCTGTTCATAGCCGACTTGTCCAGGGTGACATAGGTGCACTGTTGGCAGGAATGCAGTCCACCTCGTACAGACGCCACAGAAGAATGCTTCAGAGCCACAGAAGATAAGGGTCCTGCAAGCAATCGAGATAACGCAAAGGCTATGCAAAATATGTGTCATATACCACAAGAAACTGCACTGCAGCAGCAGACAAAACAATGGTTGCTTCTTTTATAGGTGAAGCAGATGATCACCTTGTCTTACCAAACTAAAACTGCCCTTATAACCAGAATGCCTCAACACAGCACATTGCACAAAAATCGAAATCTTGCTGCACATGCATACTGTGCTAAGTGCGAAAAACGGAATCCGATTTAGATGCCATTTTGATGCTATATATAAAAGGTCAAATGCTTTTTAATGTGCACAATTAAACACTAACACATTAGCAATGTATTGCAGTTGTTTTCCACAAAAGTATATTGGCCCCTCCACATTCAAACACGTGAAGCATATGAGAAAAATATCACAACATATCGACGAAGTGAATGATAATGAGTGGGCGAGGCTTCATAGAATCATTCGGGTAAAAGTGAATTCGTCGTACATTGCTCACTCAAACATGCAAATGAGTGTCAACATGTGTGTACAGTAATACAATGTTGTTTTATTGGTCGTCATAAGGGTCAATTTTGCGAGTGCTTTTTGCAGGCGAGAACACATTCACAATCATTTTCATCCATGGCAGAAAGAGAAAGTGTTGTTTGATGCACTTTCGTCATTAGCCGCAGCACAAAATAAACAATGCCTTACAAATGTGTAGCAGGTACCTCGCTTATCAGCAGAATAAATTAGTGGGGGCTCCATCGTCATGACGTGTACATTAGTGGGCATGTGGGGTGCCATGATGGCAGAAAGAGAATACGTGACATCGTCGTCTTGAACACGCTTGTTCTTTATCATCGTGGGGTGACGGCGGACATAGATCGGCTGTAAGGAGCTTGGCCCCTAAAAATATGGTCGATTCCTCTGTTATGTGAATCGTTAGAGAGCAAAAAAGAAACATATTATACCCACATAAAAGAGTCCATACTGTAAAGAAATTGTGAACTGTAAAGCTTGTATTTTGACATTTGACAATGTATTTTAATGTTTGATTCACCCATGTTGACGGTTGCTGGTACATCTTCATCCATAAGGCGGAGGTCAATGCTCGTGAGCCGCGGTTTATTCATTCCTCTCTGCCATCGCTCCAACCACTTTTTTTCTTCAGCAGACTACCCACTACCAGTTCATGTCCCAAAAGTGTCGTGCCAGAAAAAGAAGAAAGATATGCTACACATGAGCCCTTCTGCAGACAAGTGGCCGTGGGCATTTGAAAAAAAAACCGGACAGATCTCACAATGGGTGCCGGCTTCATCCTTTCACCCCCATATTCACAAACCTAACTTTTGTACTTATCGCGGAACTTTCCTCATACTTTAAGGCTGGGTTAAAGTAGCCTATGGCCTACATTAGGGCTTCCTTAAACAACATGGAAAAGGAGGACAACTTTGCGTATTTTGCTGGTTATGTGGACCACAAAGAAAAAAATAATGAACGGCTCAGCACGCACATACTTGTCACTGCCGCGATGAGTCGCAAACAATCAACGGAACCTGATGGAGACCTACGACAAGCAGGAATTGTGCCGCCCCTGCTTCACAAAAAAGTGCTGTGCAGAATTTGCTATGCAATGGTTCTGCAGGAAAATACCCATGGCCATGGGTTCGTTGCGCCCCATCTCATACAGCTGCTCATCGCATCGCGCTTTTAGGGAGATGGCACGTTTCAACTGGTGAGCGACGGCTTTGTCAGTGTCTCGTAGTTGACCATGTCACGAATATACAATCTAGCGGATTACAATCTGCTATCATTGCAAAAACACTTTTTCCCATACCGGTAAAACTTCCCAAAATGGCGCAAACACTTTTCTAGTATTTTGGTCGGCCGTTCGTGGATGCAGTGTGTTGGTTGTTGAATTCTATCGTGAGATGGTTTCACAGTTTTCGTTTTCTCTGAAAATACACGGCGTCTTGTCTTATTACTTGTTCACAAAAATCCGTCAAGACATAGGCACTTTGTCGGTGAAGTTCACTTCAGTGCACGGTTCCACAATAAAGTATACTTCGTTAAAAAAACGCTGTAAAACTGTTGATGCTATCAGATAAATATAGTGAAATTTCAAAAAAGCAAAAAGAAATAGCATAGCTGAAGTGAGCACGATAGCATCACCAAACATGGCAAAAAATACAAAATGTTGAAATAAAAAAAGTAACTTGACTACCCCCTTACGTCAACGAGAGTTGCAGAAAAGTAGACGGACGAAAACCGTGTATTTCACCGAAAACTGCCAGTGCCTAAACAAACATTTCTGCTGTTCACATTTGGCTGCTTCTGTGCATACTGTTATTGGTTCCGTGCAGTAAAGGTAATTTATTGGTGCTCTAAGTAATAATTTTGAAGCAAACATTTACCTACCCTTGCGCCATGGGCCTATACTTGACGAGTTAAGGACCCTTTTCATAGGGCGTCCTTATGACACGATAAGAGACGTCTCTGAAACTGGCCTTGCACTTTTCTTATACTTGTCTCATTTTTTCGTAAGTAGCCTTACTGCGATAAGTTAAGGTCAGTTCATGAATACACATGAATACGGTGGTCAATGTGGACTGTGTCTTCGAGCCCATTACGCAGGATTGTGAAATGATATTCAGAACGCTTGATCATTGGGAAACCGTCATAGTGAGACTGAAGAGCATGGCGAGATGAATCAACACGAATAAAAACGTATGAAGATGTCTGTAGGTTTGCTCGCAGAAAAACATCATTCTTAGTGTGCGCTGAAGTAGGCAATGGGCACAAGTTTTGAATGAAGATCCGCAGACGCTGGACGAAAGAAAATGAATCCGAAACACACTTCATAGTAACGGCGCACACAAAGTCACCAGGCAGACGAAGTGGGCAGCCATAAACCATCTCAGCTACAGAGCAGGCAAGTTCTAGTCGATAAGTTGAACGAACGCCGAGAAGCACGATGGGAGGTGTGATAACACATCTTCGGCGTGAGGCTGCGAGGCGAGTGCTGCTTTTAAGTGACAATGGAGTCGCTCTACAATGCCATTTCATGCTGGATGATATGTAGTTGTGCGAATGAGTGCACAATCCAGTGAAAATGTGAATGAGGTAAAAAGCACAGACTCACTGTTTGTTTCAATCAGTACAGTCATTGTTGATTGTACACCGAAACGGCTAATCTAGGTAGCAAGAAAGGTACGAGCAACCGTCTTTGCTGTGATGTCAGGCATTGGGGCTGCTTCAAGCCACCTAGTGTACCTGTCAACACAAGTAAGCAAATACGTATATCCTTGGCATGAAGGTAAAGGCTCGACAATGTTTAAGTGAATCCCATCAAAACGTGCATAAGGAAGAGAGAATTTTTCCCATGGAGGCTTGGTGTGCCGCCGCACCTTGATACGCTGACACGCTGTGCAAGTGCGAACCCAGTAACGATTGTTATTGCGTATGCGCGGTCAGACATAGCGTTCAGTGATCAGGTATTGCGTAGCGCTTACACCTGGATGGCAGATTGAGTGGAGGGTGTCAAAAGCAGCACGACGCTGATGCGAAGCAACATAGATACGAGTGCAGTTGTGCGAAACACTGCACCAGAGAGTAACGTCGCCATCGGAAAAGTTGACCTGTTCCAGTCAGAGAGATAGATATAGAGCATCGGAGTCGTAAAAGCTCATTGTCTGATGTCTATGCCTCGACGAATGAAGACAATAAAAAGATCGCTGGTGCCCCTCGTGGCAGTGATGGTAATACGATTGAGAGCGTCTGCTGCACTGTTAAAGCTGCCTTCTACATAACGTATGTCTGAGATAAATTCGGCAATGAAAGCAAGGCGTCGAAGATCTCTAGGAGTGCGCATGGCACTGCATATACGTAAAGCTGAAATAAGTGGCTTGTGGTCAGCAAGAGTGGCAAATTGTCGCCCTTCAAGGAAGTACTTGAAATGCTTCACCACAGGACAGGCCACGAAGAGCTCCCGCCCGAAAGTACTGTATCGGGGCTCAGTGTAGCGTAACTTAAGGGAAAAAAAGTGAATTGGAGCCCATGCACCATAGATCCAGTGATAGATACTGGCTACAACTGCTTGTGAAGAAGCATCCACCATGAGGCTAGTGGGAGCAGTTGTTGAAGGATGGTGCACGAAGGTGACCTGGGCGAGTTTGGTCTAAACGGCGCTATTCGCTACATGGTGTAAGAAAAACAAAAAACATTATTTTTCTGATGCCGAGTTCTCAAATGCGAAATGCCGTTATGGATGCTACGCCATGCACTTGGATTTCCTCACGATTCCCTTTGGGGGGGTGGTGGCATTTTTTTTTTTTCATGGATGAATGCTATGAGCGTCTGACATCAACGCTTGGGGCAAGATAGTCACCAAGAGGGGGGGGGGGGGGGCTTTGCGTTGACAAAATTTTACATGCTCTTGTTAGAAAGGCACCGAATAAGACGCACATTGAGAAACAACACGTTGAAGGAACTCATCGCAGACGCCACGGTCACGATGCATTACTGCACTTTACCAAGAATGCTGAGAACACTGTGGTACATATAAAAGGCATAATTTAAAGGTTTCAAAGCCTGTGACCATGGCCCAGTGTATAGCAGACCAGAGGTCACGGGTTCGACTCACGTTGATGAACTTTTTTCTTGTCTTCTGATAGTGCGTATTTTTTCAACCACACTTCCATGACGGAAATACGTCATTGAAGTCTTGGTGGACCGCAGCATAAACCACTTTCGTCTTAGAAAAAAAGCTAGAAAATGGCGCATGTGGCTAATGAATCTGCTATTTTGCCTGGGATGTATGAATTTTGTTGTTGGGCGCAGGCATGTGCCTGCACCCAAGGTTGATGGGCCTGTGTCGTGGATGGCTTGTCTCGTCATGCAAACTTCTTTTTCTTCTGTCTATGTAGAGCATGATAAACCTTCAGCTGGAAGTCTGCACTTGTCATTCTCTGCTTCTCATTCATGCTTTCTACCGAGCAGTGCACATTGATTAAAGAGTGGTTAATATTCATTCTGCGTACCCTATATCAGCTTCAAAGTTGGCTCAATATTTTGATTATTTTCGCTCTTATGAAAATGATGCAATGGAAAGACTGAAAACAGGCGAACCTGCAGTCAGGGTTTAGCACGTTTTCATGTGCACCTAAAGGCAAAATTAGTTTGTTTCACAGAGAAGCGACCATACAGGATGCTTATATGTATGCGCGTACATGCTAAACAATTACAATGACAAGGTTTCCCTTTTCCCCGGTATTATGCAAATTAATATTGCATTCACTCGGCCGAACTGAACACCAAATCTCTTTTCAATGAAATCTAGCAAATAGTAAAAATGATTAATATTCCAGGCCTTTCTAGCTGAACTAAACTCGGCAGATCCCAGGTAACATGGGAATTGACATCATGCCAATCATGCGAAGTAAATGTTACTGTGGTGTAATTTGTTTTTTTGTTGTTGTTGAGCGGAATGTTACGACATTACCCTAAACAAATCTACCAATGTATATACACGCCAAGCATGTACGTTGAATAGTTCTGTATGTTCTATATAAGCACTTGTCTGCAGTTTCAAAATGATGCCATGAGCGACATACTTGATCCCACTGTAGGCATTTGCTTTTTGTTTTTGCTTATAGATCTTGGGTTTCGTTTATATCGTCTTTAATCCTGCTTTTCTGTGTATAGATAATACAGGCAGCTTTGGGGCATAAAAAGGCTTGTTCAAGTGCAAAGAAACTCAGTTGTAAGTCGGCGCTCATCTGTGTTCTGTGTGTCTCCATTTGTCTCCGTCTAAATTGCACTGAAGCCTATCAAATAATGTACCAACTCGCCCAAGTCAAAGTGCTTTTGGTAGAAGTTGTCGGTAGATTTCACAATCATCGGCAAAGAGCCTGATTGTCAATGTAATACAGGATGAATGGTCCTTAATAGATATATTTAATGTCTTGGCGGTGCGAACACCCACTGCCCGTGTGCATCCTCTCCCTCCCTTCCTCCTCTCCTACACTGCCCCCTTTCTCTTGCCTCGGAACGGCAACGCAGGCAGCGTCTGCTAGTTTATGCAACCTTCCCCCCTCACTTTTGTAGGCATCCCTCCTAGAGGCGTTTATAGACCGTTCCATCAGGTGAGAACAATCGGACTGGCAACCAGCGCTTTCCTCCTTTTTGCAGCGTGCAGGTGCCACAAAGTGTACTGGTTGATGCTTACATGAGTGGGGTTTCTGAACAATTTTAGTATGTTTTAGAATGCACTGCAGACATTTATTCTTTCTTATGGCGATGTCAGCCAGTGAAAGGTCAGCGGAAACACATCGTGCCTTTTTGGTCGTTCCAAGAACTACAGAAAAAAACTGCCGTCTGAATACGTAACGCGCAGCGTTTTACAGTTGCGTCATGGAACATTGTTTATGTTAGGTGACAATTTTACAGGGAATACCTGGTGTTCCACTCAGTCAAATGTCAATCCAATTTGGTTATATTGACGGCCAAACATAAGCAGTCAAGTCTGGCCCTGACTGCTAAACTGCGATATCTAAAGACCACTTGAGTAGCCACCTGAGTTGTTTCCGCTTTGTTTGATTATTTTATTTTAGTATGATGGATTTGGTCAAAAACAATTAGCCTTGTAGCTCGGCTTAACACAGTGATTCATGCAGTTGATGCAACTGAATTAACACGGTCGAGAATCCCCCCTCCCCCCCCTCTTCGCGACAGGCTAACCAGCTTGAAACATTTAATTTGTTGTCTGCACCAGCCTTGTGAAACCTGAACATTCACTGAATTTTACATGAAAATGACGAGAAGGAATCCTTGTTGCAAGTGTACAACTTACATAAGACGGCAGGATGTATTGTGCCCAATGTGCTATATGAAAGCTGAGTAGTAAAAAAAAAAAAGGAGTTATGTCACTTTGTGTTTGGAATAACTACTTCTGGAAGACATTTTTTTTTTGTGGTCAACAGCCGTGTCTGACAAGTCACCCAAATATATCTACAACATAGTTCTTTTGTAAGAGCAAAACAAAATTAAAACATGTTTTTGCGTTTGTCTATTGTTTTTATAACAGTCATTAACACTGCTTGGCTTTGCGAACAACAGCCTACATTTCGCAAAAGGCATACAACTGGTAGTCAACATTACATTTAAAAAAAATATACTCATAAATGGCTCTTATGGCAATCATAGGCTCGAGTCCGGGCACGCTTGGTGCCTCATCAGCAGAAGAAACGCTTAACTATCATCACTATACCGCCATCGCATCCAATCAAATGCCACAACTCTAAAAAGAAAAGAAAGAAAAAAGATGCGTGCTGGCATGTAAACATCAGCATCGAATTTTGTGTGCCAGCAGCTCCCTGTAAGCACTTCTAATTTTGACCGCACCTGGGGGACAATGAAAATTGAGTAATAAGGTGTAACTAAATGTGGAGCAGAAGATAGACCACAGTTTGTCAGCAACAAACAAATGCAGTCATGGCGAAGAAATTTCAATAGCACACTCACGCACGATTGCATGTACGGGTGGTAGTCGCTGTGACAGCATAAAAAAAAAAAGTGCAAATGCCAAAAAGACTTAAATATTACAGTACAGGAAAAAAAATTCACTGCATCTTCAAAATGTGCCAGTATTTGCTTTCCCTGCTACAACGGGCCGAAATGTTCTAACATTTTCCAAACACAAAAAGTGCCGGAAACATACTACGTCGGCGGCTTGCAATACGTTTGGGCCATCGATCCCATAGTCTTTTATTTGACTTCGAACGGATCAAAACATTTCAGGACGTCTTACAGACTCATTTTCTATTTACATTTCTTCATTTGAGATAAAATTCAGCACGCCAGAATGAAAGAAACCGACTGCAAATGCAATTGTACGAATACCTTCTATTAAAACGCGGAGCTTCACACGCTTCAGGGGGTGGCCAGACGAGAGACGGCGACGCCCACTAGGCAATATGGCGGCGCCCACAATAAACATGGGATAAAGTTACTGTATATGCTACCTTATACTGTATATGCTACCTACTGTGTAAGGCAGCATATACAGTAACTCCAACGTGGGAGCATCAGTCAGTGCTGCCAGTAGCCATGAGGGCGAGTGTGGAACACTTTTTTGTACCTGTTTGGTGTCACATAGTACGTGAATTTATTAGGAGCTGGCAGCTGACCAATAGTCTCTCGTATACTCCTTGAAGGCAGCATGTCTGTCAGAACTAGACCCTCGCTTTGAATGAAGGAAAGAAGACCATTTAAAGGCCCGTTTTTCTTGTTATACACAATAATGAGATCTAATAGACCATCATGCCAATTGGCGTGATTGTCTGTTAGATCTCATTAATATTACACATATATAACAAAGAAAACAAGCCTTTATTCGCGACTCCAACTGAGCGCTCACCACCTAGCGGCTGCACCTAGAAACGGTACTAACAGGGTCAACCTTGAAAGGAGACCTGTGACCATGTTACACGTGTTGAGATGCAGCCGCATAGTTGCTTCCTTTTTGCCATACCGAACGAGCGAGCCCAAAATGGAAGAAAGAAATGTTCAGACACCATTGCAGTGTGTTGCAATGCGTGACATCGTGGTGGAAAGATGGCTACGTATTGTTCTATCATGGCCGCTGTGAAAAATCGTTTATAAACCCGCGCCACCACCACGCCTCCACTGCGTGGCATTCTAATTGGCTGTGGCAAAGTGGCTTGCTTCGGAGGATGGCAAAAATTGGTCGGGGAGCGATTTGCCTTGCAGCCTGGTTTTCCTCCCACTTTCACTGCCTGGAGAGGAGGTTTTTTCCCACTTTCCACATTGCTGCTTCGCCACTTTGGCTGCCCTGCCTTCGGAGTGAAAAAGTCTCGATTGATTTTTAGGTGCCATTGATTTTTAGGCACGAAAAACACAATCACTTAATGTCCCGTGTCCTCTCTCGTGATTCTGTTTTTTGTGAATTAAAATAAATTATAACTATGTGGCACAATCTCGTGGCATAATTCACTCGGGCGTGATACCGAGCTTTACTCGGTATCACGCCCCTCTACTTGCAGCTGCAAAGTGGCAGAGCTGCTGCCTGTGTGCTGCAAGAAAAGTTGCATTTATTTACACATGCAATGCGGTGAAACAACTTTTCAGATATTCTATGTACAGTGTGATACGCACAGAATGGACAATTTATTTATAGTCTCAGGCATAATACCTTTTCAATGCAGCCCTAACTCTAAAAACATACAGCATGATTTTTGGAATGAATTAAACACACTTGTGCACTTATCACTTTCATTGACACATTGCAGAAATATTTACACCATTGCCTTTATGAATGGCAATCTATTTACAAAGGTCGTCACTTCTTTCTAGCTGCCTTTACTGGCTCACTAGCACGGTTATTTTCAGCAAGAAACACTGTACACGCTAGATTTTGATATCTAGGCCTCAGAACGACGCGACTACAAGCATCTAAGAGTAGTTTGTGTTCTCCACATGCGCTCTAGCCAGGGCCATAGCCAGGTGGGAGGGAGGAGTAAGGGGTCCAAACTCTGTAAAATTTCAAAAATTTTACTTGCTTATATACCTGCGCACCAATAACCTACATACGAACATACATTAGGTATAGTTGAAACCCTTTTTTCCTCGCTCCCTCCCCCTCCAAACATTTTCTGGCTACGCTGCTGGTGTTTTCTCGAACATCTTGTTTTTCTTTGGTCTTCCCATTCTCGAAGGGGTTGTGAAACGAAATTGAAACCTCCCGGTTGCAATTTTCCTTCGTTCGATAAGAATTAAACATACTTATTCCACCACATCACATTTCAGCACAATATACAGTCTCCTAATTACTGACACCTATTTCAAATCGCAGTTTTGCTGGGGGGGGGGGGGGGGGGGGGGGGCTCGCTAGCAACTATGCGACACCATCGGCCGCTATAGGCACTAACATGTGATGTCAGTGAAATGTCAGAGTAACAGAACTTACAAACAGAGCACCAGGTTTATTTTTGCTCAAATGTAGTAGGTTTATAGGAATTTAGAAAATAAAGAAATATTAGCGCTATTTTAGCATTCTCAGTTGTATGCTGCACAACTACAAGTGATCTGCTTGGTTCTGCTTTCAAGTACATCTGGGCTCTGTCACGTGTGTATCTTTGCCTTCCCTCCGGATGCCTAGGCTCGATCGGTGCATTCAGTGCAGCCTAGCAGTTTGATTGCCAGAGCACTTATATTGACACTTTCGACTGGGTTTTGCCGCTGGCGTCAGTGTCATTGACCGTATATGTATACATATTTATATATACAAAATGCAAAAAAGAAAAATAATCTAGAAAAAGACTGCAGCGCGCGGAATCAAACATCCGATTTCGTGCTTGTGAATGCGAGGCATTAGCCACTGAGCCACGAAGAAGCACCTCTTTCAAAGTTGAAACGGCAAGCTATTTATTATCTACCACTTTTCAATGGCGATGGCCTCCTCCAGATAACTATCGTGTTTTCAGCATAACCCGCGACATGGCTTAATGAGCGCGGGTCGCCTAAAGCCCCTGAATAAATAAAAGTAACGACAACTCCTCCTTCTGCGTGAGCGTTCGCTCTCTCTTTTTCCGACTATGGCTCCACCTACGTAGTGTAGGGCTCATTGAAATGCTGTTGCACTTGGGTACCAACGAGAAACAACCACGCGTCGTGATGCCCTTTATCGAACTGCTGATGGCTGTGGGGTGAGATGATGCGGAGAGAAAAAACGCTTTCTCGAAGAAACTGGAGCTGCGAAGAAAATCTGAATTTATTAGTCAAAGGACACGGCAATTTCACACCAGCATCTAAGTTAAAAACACACGCCGCGTTTTCCGCACACAAAAAATGCGACCTGCGCTGCACGTCGGGGTTGCCATGAAATGCGCCTTGCACACAAGCCGAGAAGAGTCTCCAGCTTTTTAAAAAGCATAAATCCTACACCATAGTTAATAGAAACGCTTTTAAATACTACTTCATGGAAGCAGTGGGCAAACATTAAAAATAAACACAAAAATGAATATGCAGACTCTAATGGGGAACTCCGGTGCATTTTCAACCATGCTGAGGTAATGCTGCTTTCAAATAGTATTGACAGTCCTGTAAAAGCTAGGGTGGTTCATTTTGCCCAGGCACTTGTCAAAAATTACAATTAAACAATAAACAGAGTCAATACGGAAACCGAAGCCAGGTGCTCCTCAGCCATTCTTCGTGCGTATCAGATGACGTCACGAGATCCGCTACACCCTGCCACGGCTGGCCAGGGTGTAAACATAGCGTCAAAAGCAAGTTGGCGATGTCATCAAGCTGGCGATGTGGAATCAAGTTGCGTTAGCTCTTCTGAACTTATCAGTGACAAGTTCAACGATGACTGCATCTGCTATCTGAGCGCGGAAGCATCGCTTTTTGCTTTCGACTCGCTGGCGCGTGAGGCCTCTGGCATACCTAGAATTGATTTCCTTGTTGCTTAATATCGTAAGACCCGACGTCAAAGACAACTAACATGATGTATGCAGCTGACAAAACTGAACTGTTCTTGCGTTGTCATCGCCTCGTAGAAAAAAGTGCGTGCTGCATCTGTCCGCTGGGGTAAAGCCGGGGTTTTCAAAAAGAATAGTCAATAGCATCACATACACAGGGTGGCCCGAGTTTACAAGTGTGATTCGAAAATCAGCTACAAATTTTAAAAATTGTTTTCTAAAGAACTAAGTGACTTATGGTTGTATAATTTGGCACATATCACCGAAGTACTGACAAGAACACATGTTCAAAGTTTTATTGAAACCAGTGAATGTCGAAAAAAATGGAGTTCCCCTTTAAAAAGACAAAAACTTATCAATGTCAGTGAAACGCGAAGAGACGCTCACATACCTTAAAAAGTTGACACGGTTTGAAGTCATCCCAGCAGATGCTATGCAGCCAGATCGCCATCATGGCGCGTCTCGCTTCTCAAACGTAATCCAATATGCAGCTTTAATCAGTTTAACGTATGCTGTAACCACAAGTGCACCAAAGATAAATCGCAAACACATACCAACTTAAAATATGCAGCACAAGTCTGAAAAAGAGACGTGAAACACGCTGCACACATGGGAAGCTCGTTGTGTTGGGCATCGCTAAGGAACTCGAGCCCAAGAGAAACAAAAAAGAAGCCGGAGAAAACGCAAGCGAGAAGCACGTGATGGTGTACAGCCAATGAGAGCACCGACGATCGAGGGAAGGCACGGGAGAGGACAACAGGAGAAAATACCAACAGATGACGTTACCTTTAGTTTATTCAGGGGCTTCAGCATCGGCAAATCGTGACGACGCGGTGGCGGCACGCTCTCATTTCCTACGCGTACTTTGCCCCGTGAAGAGGCGGGGAGGGGGGAAAGGGGTGTTGTGGATGCTCACACGTGCGTGCTTATCTCGTGGTGGAGAAATCGTACGCTTTGGGCTTTCACCGGAACGATTCTGCTGTAGTTACTGAGCGCACAAAGGTCACTGCACTCGCTGCACACTCTCCATTTGGAAATGCGCTTTTCAGACACAGCGAAGCAACTACTGAGATGCTTATACGCATTCATCTGTACCTTTCAGTCCATTCTGTGCGTCATTTGTGCATGAGAAACTCGGGGCACATTTCAATGTGCTTGCCATTCTTCACATGATCTTCCAATTTGTTGCTATCCCGTTCATTGCTTCGTCATTGCGGCAAAGCTGTGACCTTCTTTCTTACTTGTTGCATCAGATTGTGCTCTACTGCGTGTTTTGCGCGACTTAAGCCATGCTATGCCAACCGTGTGCGTCATCAGACAGTGCCGCACAACTTATCAAAGTGCAAAACAATGTGCGCTTTCACAAGCTGCCCAGCGAGCCACAGCGCAGAACAGGGTGGCTTCAAGCTATTAACCGAGACGCCCCTGATGGTGCAAGCTCACAGAGTGGAGGTTCATGGCTGGGGCGGAAATTCTCCCATGCCGTCTTGACACAAGTGCTTCCAGACGCAGCTTTCTTCGCCCCTGCCACCGTTGTCTTGCTCCGATCATGGCCGATCACGCATTCGTGCGTCCCCGTACGGCTCGGAGACCAAGAGCCAACTCCACTCTAGCAGACGACACTGCAGTTCGGGAAGGTCGGCGATACCATACTGTGAGTTTGTGATGTTATGAAATTGTTATGGTAGTGACAGCACCACAATAGAACAGTATGGTGCTATAAACCACGGTAAATGAAAGCTCGAAAACATCACTGCATTGCCATGTTTTCATTGGCTGTCAGACTATTCATTGGCTGTCTTAAAGTGACATCAGGTGCACAGATGACGGGAACGTGAGCTGGGAAACCAAAATTGCGCTTTAGTTATTCAGTGAGCCCAGACGATCAAACGAGTCAAGGTATAATATTAAATGAATGGCCAGAATTCTGAAAGCACAAAATTTTCGGAAGATGTTTCATGACTCCTTCAAACTCTCCCGTGTTTCACTGGAGCTGGGAGGCATGCCTTCCACTTGTGCTAGAAGATCGTAGACGTGGTCACTTGTGCTTGCGTGCTTATCTAAAAACGGAGGTTTGTATGTCTTGTGCTTTCACCTCAAATATTGAGTTCAAGCTATTCACCGCATAAAGGTCACTTCGATTGCTGCAGCGGCCGCGTTTGCTAAATTAGGCTGCTAGCTATAGAAGAGCCCAAATAGGGGATAGTTTAAGCAACCACTGTCACAGTTGTAACTTTGCAATAATGCATTGCACACTTTGCATTCTTTTCATGCGTCTTGCTTTGCCTTTGAGCAACCCACTGAATGTGCTGACCTTTGACAGTTCTTAGTTCGCACTTGCCTTGTATGCTGTTTTTGTGCATTCTTTGCGCTTCAAGCTCATGCAACATGTGTCGAGCTGCTTGCCGTTTTTCGTGTGGCATTCCATTTTGGCTATCAATTGAATTGCTTTGTCTTTGCAAAAAAAAAAAAAAAAGCTGTTACTCTTTGCTTTCATGAAACCAAGCTTGATGCAATGAAATTCTCAACGAATGTTATTGATAGGACAATGTTTTATTCACTTCTACGAATACACGGGCACACACTAGTCTTCGCCACTATGCAGGGTGTTTTTTTTTTCACTTTGTGTAGCACAGAACATGTTTGAACGTTTATTTGGCCATGAGGTGTAGAGAGAGAGTGTTCATCAAAACAACCATGAGAACGCCAGAGAGCCATTGCTATCATTACACTTCTACTTTTCTGAAACCATTGAATCATTTTCCAGTTCTTCCATTTATTTTGCACAGGCACGTGGTATTTTTACAAGACCGGCGGAAATGCGCTACGGGGAAGCTTTGATCTGGGTGGCAGGTTCCAAAAGACACGTCACACTTTCTCCCCAATTCTCTCCATGAAAATTCAGGGAGCATATAAACATTTCTCTTTTTGTTTGAATCTTACTGTGACAAATGTAAACCATTAATCTACTTCGCACGTAGGACTTCCATACATGGCACCCAGTGAAAGGACATCAACTATGCTACTGCCTCTCTCCTTGGTCAAGTGGCACACACCAAATCTCAAGAGTTGGCAAGACGTATGCAGCAGTTGACAATAATGAAAATACCCTTGGGACGCCAATACCCAAGCCCAAACCATCACTGAGGCGCGACGTAAGTGAAACGCAGCACGGCAAAAACTTAACACTTAAAACATCCGCCCCGTTCTCCAAGGTGGTGACAAGTCTTTTCTTCAATGAATAGAACAAAAATGCACAAGCAGTGTTTTAGTACATTCATAATGCATGTGTCATTTTAGATTATTAGTTTGACTACTTATGAGTATTGCACTCGGGACTCTTGACGTGATCAGACTCATTCCAGAATGTCCCCCTGGTGGCGCACAGTGTGTGCTACGCTTTCCTAAATGTATCGATTAATAGAGCACTACTGGTGATACTGATATGTGCACCGGTGGTTGTTGCGCTACTTCCTGTTCTGAACTCCTCTACGTTGACCCAAGTTCTTCCCCAAGGCATCACTTTAGCCGATCTTTCTGCCCTGGATGAATGTTCGATTTGTTCTTTCCCCCTGACACTAAAACCGTGGCGAAACCTGTCATCACCCCGCAATACAAGGCGCTCCTCGACAAAATGATACCTGGCGACCTCTTACCTTCCCAAGTTGCAGCGCTCTGGGTTGTTCTATTTTCTTACCTGGATATCTTTGACATCGACGACCGTCCCCTGGATTGCACAAGTGCCGTAGCCCACCGCATCGACAACGGCGATGCCAGTCTACTCCACAAACGCCCTTACCTCGTGTCACATGCTGAGCGCCAAGTTATACAGAGGAAGGTCAAGAAAATGCTCAGCAAAGACGTCATTGAGCCTTGATCGAGTTTTTGGGCATCCCCTGTGGTCTTAGTTAAAAAGAAGGACAACACCTGGTGCTTTTGCGTTGACTATCGCCATCTGAATCGGATCACCAAAAAGGACGTTTATCCCCTACACTGAATCGATGATGCGCTCGACTGCCTCCACGGCGCCAACTATTTCTCGTCCCTAGACCATCGATTTGGATACTGGGAAATTTCGGTCGACGACCGCGACCCCAAGAAGACAGCATTCATCACACCTGACGGCCTTTATCAATTCAAGGTCATGCCTTTTGGGTTGTGCGATGCCCCGGCTACTTTTGAACGTATGATGGACTCTCTTCTCCGCAGTTTCAAATGGTCAACCTGCCTTTGTCATCTGGATGATGCAATAGTTTTCTCGCCCTCCTTTGAAAGCCACCTGTCTCGTCTCTTGGCAATTCTTGACGATTTTCGTTGCGCTGATTTCCAAGTGAATTCATCGTAATGCGCACTTGGACGCCAGCAGATTAAACTACTCGGCCACCTGGTTGACACAACTAGTGTTACACCCGAACCTGCCAAACTTCGTGAAGTTCGAGAATTCCCGGTTCCGCGTTCCACACAAGAAGTTCACAGTTTTATTGGGTTCTGCTCGTACTTCCGCCGCTTTGTCTTCAACTTCGCGGATATTGCTAGGCCCCTCACGGATCTCCTCAAAAAGAATGTGGCCTTTTCTTGAGGGAAGGACCAAGAAAATTCCTTCGCGTCGCTGATTACTGCCCTCACATCACCACCTGTGTTGGCTGATTTTCATCCAGCCGCTCGAACCGAGCTTCGCATTGATGCAAGAGGCCATGGCATTGGTGCTGTATTCACTCAGATACAGAATGGCACCAACCATGTGATAGCCTACGCTAGTCGGCTTCTGTCGCAACGGAAAAAAATTATTCCATCACTGAGCGGGAATGCTTAGCCCTCGTTTTGGCCATTGCGAAATTCCATCCGTACTTAGACGGACGTTCGTTCGCAGTCATCACGGACCATTATGCGCATTGCTGGCTGTCGACACTTAAGGGCCCTACTCACCTGCTCACGGACCATGGTCACTACTTTCTATCTCGTGTGGTGGATGACCTACTTCGATCTTGTGCTACCTGTCACAACTTCCCCACATCTTACCACCCTTAGACTAACGCCTTTACGGAGCGCCTAAACCGCACATTGACAGAGATGCTTTCTATGTACGTACCTATAGACCACACTGATTGAGACATAGCTCTGCCGTTCGTCACCTTCACCTATAACTCGTCGCGTCATGAAACAGCGGGCTACTCCCCATTTCATCTACTCTTTGGACGTCATCCCTTACTGCCCTTCGACACACTGCTTTCATCAGACCACTCTTCCTCCACTTCAAACGCTCAGGATGCCATCCCCTGTGCCCTCACGGCACACACGGTAGCCCGCGCTCCGTTATCGTCGCAGACAGCACAAAAGTCTCTTTACGACCGTCGACATAAGGATGCTGTTTTTTATGCGGGATCTGTGGTTCTCCTGTGGCTCCCATCCCGACGTGTTGGCCTCTGCGAGAAACTACTATCACGATACGCTGGGCCCTACCGAGTCCTTCGTCAGGTCACACCTGTGACCTAAAAGATTGTTGCGACGGCAAACTCATTGGCTGCTGCACCCAGAATGCAAGTAGTCCACAATTCTCGTCTCAAGCCCTGCACCGCTGACTCGTTCGTTTAACAGGCACCGAGATGGAGCCGTACCGGCCAGGGTGATGATACGTGTATGGAACTGTCGCTCCGGCACAGCTGAAACGGCACCCAAAAGGAGAAAGATGACAAGGTTGTTGTTGTGGGTTGGACTCTCGAGCTTCCCCTGTTGGCCTGCATGACGGTGCGCTCTTTAAGGCTTTAGCAAGACCCGCTGTCAGTGAATAAATCTTCCCGTAACCATACCAATGATGTTTTAGACAATCTCAAAATGGAGCTTTCGCTTACATGTGAGAGAGCGCCTGTCCTGAACAAGAGGTCATATATTGTCACCTACGACACACTAAATTGCACACAAGTCAAAGGTCTTTTGCATGCAAGCGGGCATGTCTCAAGAGATTCTTCTTCTGCTTAAAGGATGCATTGCAGAGGACACAGGAGAAAGGACGTTCTTTTGTGTGAATGCGCATGTGTGCCACGACATCACTTTTGAACACAAACATCGCATTGCAATGATCACAGGAAAAGGGTCGCTCTCCTTTGTGGTGCGCTAAGGTGTGTCTCACAAGGCTCTTCTTCTGCGCAAAGGATGCATCACAATGCACACAGGAAAAAGGCTGCTCTCCTGTGTGTGTGCGAATGTGTCTCACGAGGTTGAATTTCTGCAAAAAGGACGCATTGCAGTGGACACAAGAAAATGGACGTTCTCCTGTGTGAGTGCGCGTGTGGCGAATCAAGTCTGTTTTTTGCGCGAAGGATGCATCGCAGTGAACACAGGAAAAGGGGTGCTCTCCTGTGTGCGTGCGAATGTGTCTCACAAGATTCCATTTCTGCGAGAAGGATGCATTGCAGTGGGCACAGGAAAATGGACGTTCTCCTGTGTGAGTGCGCGTGTGGCGAATCAAGTCTGCTTTTTGCGCGAAGGATGCGTCACAGTGAACACAGGAAAAAGGGTGCTTTCTTGTGTGCGTGCGAATGTGTCTCACGAGAGCCCGTTTCTGCGAAAAGGATGCACTGCAGTGGACACATGAAAAGGGACGACCTCCTGCGTGAGTCTGTATGTGGACACTGAGACCATCTTTCTGAGAAAACGATGCATCGCAGTGGAGACAGGAAAACTGGAGCACTCCTGTGTGTGTGCGCACATGAGCCACCAGCTTGGAGTCCTGAGAGAAGGCAGCACTGCTCATGTGGTATTGGAAGGGGCGTTGGCCTATGTGTATCCGAAAGTGTCTGGTCATATGCGACTTATTATGTGTCGTATAGGTGCACTGTTGGCAGGAAAGTAGTCGTCGTTGTACAGGCACCAATGACGAAGACTGTCGCAGAGACGCAAAAGATGTGGAACCTGCAAAACGACGAGAGAAAACAAGCGCAATGAAAATCATGTGTCATATAAAACTCTACTAATGGAGCAGGAAATATTTAATGGTTGGTTCCCAGATATGTGAAGCAGACGATGACTGTGTCACCCCAAAACCAAACCTCGCACATGAGCGCTGAAGTGCACCGCATTCTCGTCTTGCTGGAGGCTAAGCATTATACATGCCAACGCCAGATAGCACATTATAACTACTTTTGGATGTCATTCCGATGCTGTGTCAGAAGTGTGGCAGTTTGGGCTAGTTGGTATGACATGACGATAGTTACAGCGCGAGAACAAGTGCGATACATTAGCAAGCCCTCCTAAGGTTCCTCGAAGGTATCTGTGGGCACAACTAGTTGTAGTACTTTTACTTTCCTGCTTCGTTTCCTTATGGATTTTTCTTTGCCCTTTTCTTTGCTTTTGTTTTTTCCCTTACTCATGCATTGCTCTTTGTGTCACATGATTTACTGTTTCCTTTATATGTTTACGTGCTCTACACAATAAACTCAGTTGGAAGTTAGCACTCATTTCCTTCTTGTCCCTTTGTCGTTGTCCTGTTCTCACGCTATAACTATCGTTGTGTCTGAAGAGTCACACATTTTTTTTAATATGCACCATGGAAGCCATTGAACTTTTGTTTGCATAGAAGTGTGCACCAAGCAGTGCGCAGGAAAATGATCGTTTCATAATCTAGCATATACTTCATGAGAAACAAATTGTGTAAGGCTGATAATTTTATGACTCAGGCAAGTAACCAAGGTTTTAATACATTATTTATATGACCATTCTGCCAAGATCAAACGAATCTATCATAACCGGGTCGCCCCGAAACCGAGATACATATAATCGAAGTTCAGCTGCATACAGAAGGTTCAATTTATCGAATCAGCAGTGCACTTGGCTCGCTTATCCCCACAAATTAGCCCAACTGACATAAACAAGTTGCGTACACAAACGTATCCACTACCGTTGGAGCAGTAAAAAGAGAGTTTTGGAGCAGTAAAAAGAGAGTTTTGGAGCAGCTCTAGAGCAGAAAAAGATGTGTTTTAGAGCACTAAAATTTAGTTTTGGAGCAGAGTTCTCAGACCACACATCACTGTTAATTATAACTTTTTATTTCTGGTAAACACAAAGAATTTCAATGGTTTTTACTCAGCATGCAATGCTAATCAGGCGACCAGACTTACCGGAAATTCGTATATATAAACCTTGAAACATCAAAGCTGAAAGTGCAGCAACTCATAGAAAAAACATGAGTGGCGCTCCAGACAGCTACTAGACCTTAGATAAACTGCTCATTGTTCGTGGTTGCCTGAAGAGTACTTGTGTCGTCAGAAGTCGCACCTGCACTTTTGTTTTCATTGTTGGCAGTGAGGTTGTATACTGGATACACGTCGCATCGATCTTGTGATTGGTGAACACTAGATGCTTCTGCAGAAGACTTTTTTTTCACAAAATGCTGATTGTGAATGCTTCTGTCTTTGTCAAACTGCTGAGCTGAATACCTTGATCGACGGATATTTCTGTAAACATTCGTTGTCTGGTTTGGTTTCGTGCGGATTTACTAACTCGTCATGCGTAAATGCCGTTGCGCGTCCGAAGCCATGTGGGCCATGTGTGCGACACAAAGCATCCAGTGATTTGGGTAGTTCAGTAACACCTGGAGTGTTGTGGTGCCGTAAAGACATTGTAAATGCCGATTTCTTTGCCCGTGAGAAATCCAACCGTAAGTTTGGTCTTTTGGCAAAATGGTCTACATTCCTGCCAGCATACGGTGGCATTACATTGTCTGCTGCGATGTGCAAGTCCCTAGTCAGTGTTGTAATGCGTGAAGTGCATTCGGAAGAGTCGTATGATGGTACAATGGTGGAATACTTACCCTGAAGTATTGTTTGGGAAATATGCTTACTGCGGGAAGACTTCGCGTAACTGTGACGGGTGAGTTGAAAAGCCTTCAGCTGATGAGGTATGGACAAGTCTTCAGCTGATGAGGTATGGACAGGTCTTCATCGTATTCTTTGAAACGGGTGATCATTTCTTCTTTGATCTTTTTCCAAGACTCATCGTTCTCGAAGATGTGGGTCAGGTAAAATTTGAATGCCTCACCTGAGATGTAGTCAGTGAAGTTGGTGATCATCTCCCATTCCGACCATGATACAGCGGTCGCGTGGAGCTCGAACAGGTAGAACCAGTTCTGCACGGGCCCATTGTCGGCTGCTCCGGTGTACTTGGGGATGGGAAGGTCAGTCGATGCTTCCGTCATGATGGTTGCAACGGTGTCCAGTGGCGATGCACTTCTGTGGTCCGCGTTCGGTCACTGCGTCTTGCTGAGGTCTTCGATGATGATGGCCGGTTGATGAAGTGGTTGCGAGGTCTTCATCCTGTCTACTCGTGTGACGCTATGACGAATGGGCGACGTGGCCTGGCTCATACGCCATGTTTATTGCATTCTAACTTCTTCCTCATCCATCTCTACTACCATGCCCCCCCCCCCCCCCCCCCACACACGCACGCACGCACGCGCGCGCACGCACGCACACACACAGAGAGAGAGAGAGAGAGTCTGATTTCCAAATTAAATAATTTAACATAAATTTAGCTTTTTAGGAGCCAGTAAAACGATACCATTATGAAGACCTCAAGTCCAAGTGTGCAGATTTAATTTTTTAATTTGCAAAAATATGCTGTTCCGCCTTGTAACCCTTAGCTCATCGGGAAAAATGTTGAACGGGTAGCTTTAGCTATATGGGTGAATTTAATATCACCAAAAATGATTTTCTGCTTTTAGAAATACCATTCCGAAGCAGGAGTTGCGAATTTTTTCACCAGAAGTTGTGGATTAGTATTTGAGTTGTTGTTCTGCGAGTGTAGTGGTCGTAAACCTTTCGCTTATAAAAAAAACATGTACCACCTTTTCCCAGCATTTTCATATTCAATCATGTTGAGGGGTGCATATTAAAAGATAACAAAGCAATTATACTTTTTCGTTCGAAAAGAAATTTGTGCACAATCAAAGAAGAAATTTGTGCACAATCAAGCACTGGCTAACAGTGTCGGGATACTTCGTATTCTCGGAAACATTTTTGTTTTGCGAAAACCAGTCGCTATGCAGCTGAAGACTTTAAACTAGTCGTAGCTTAAGCAATCGCATCAGCTATTCATCAACACAACATACTTCGCGCCCTCATTTTCCGCCGAAAGTTTGACTTTTCACTGGCCCGTAATCCAAGTTTTCCAAGTTTTGAAAGCTTGAAAGAAAAAAAGCAAGCATAACTAGCTCCCTATAAAATACCTGCTAGACAGGACAGTCAATATTCCATGGTCAATGAATGGGAACCAAGTAGAAGCTCTTACAAAATATTCCAGAGCGGTGCCAGAGAGGGCCCTGGCCCCCTCCCTTCCCGAAGTCACCGGGAGAGGCCCGAGCCTTCCAGCATTCCCATAGTCACCGCCTATGTTCTAATGTTTCATGGTCACGGAAATGGAGGACGCCATAGCCAGAACAAACACACAACGGAGCATCATGACGATTCCATGTTTACAGAGGATAAGCGCAGCAGTGCGAAGATTACTTCAGATTTGCGGTTAAAAATAGACAAATATGAGCTGAATGCTTTAGCTGACACTGGCGCTCATTATTCGGTAATGAGTCACAAAGTGGCAAAAAAACTGAAAAGGTTGTGACGAAATGGAGTGGAGCACAGATACGCACGGCAGGTGGCCACACTATTACGTCGCTTGGCAGATCAACCTCAAGGCTCGAAATAAGAGGCTTTACTTACGTTGCTGACTTCATCGTACTGCCGGACTGTTAAAGCTTATATTAAAAATGAATTTTCTGCAAGCCAATGGAGCCATAATTAATCTGTGCAGATCTAGTGTAACGTTTTCTACCGAACAAGCTATGTCGGTGGAGGAATCAGAAAAGCGACGTCTTACTTCTCTGTGCATTCTTGATGATGACATCACAGAGCCACCACGTTGTAGTGTAATGGTGCTAGTCGAAAATAAGGCATTTGGTGACCACAAAGGAATAGCGGATGGAAATATATGGCTATTTCTGAACAAAGGAATTTGCATGGCGAGGGGTCTTGTTCACTAAATGAATAGCCGCTCAGTTGTGCTCCTTACAAATTTTGGGAATGAATGTCAGCACTTCGCGCAAGGTATGGCTATCGCCTATTTCCACGAGTTCTGCATGGTGACCGAACTATGCAGCTTAGCGACAACGCCAACCACTCCACAAGAGACCTGCATTGTCGACACATCAGTTAACGTCAACCATAGGCTCCCAGAATGTCAAAAGAAACGATTGTTTGCCCTTATTAAAGAATTTTGGGACTGCTTTTAAAGCTCCTCTAAGGTGCGACACGCGGCTATTACAAAACACAGGATTATAACAGAAGAAGCCACAAGATCGATTTGCCAGCACCCATATCGAGTATCACAAAAGGAAAGAGACGTCATCAAGAAACAAGTGGAGGGGATGCTTTTATATGATCTGATCCAGCCTTCCAGCAGCCCATGGGCGTCTCCCGTAGTGCTTGTTAAAAAGAAAGATAACAGCCTTCGATTCTGCGTCGACTATCGGAAACTGAACAGCGCAACGAAACGAGAGGTATACCCTCTGCCGCATATCGATGATACGCTCGATCAACTAGGAGTGCAAAATACTTCTCCTCTCTTGATATCAAGAGGGGATATTGGCAAATTGAGATCGATGAGCGCGACCGTGAAAAGACGGCATTCATAACCCCAGACGGCCTCTACGAATTTAAAGCGCTTCCATTCGGCCTGTGCACAGTGCCAGCGACGTTTCAGAGAATGATGGATGGTGTTCTCACGGGACTGAAATGGCAGTCCTGCTTGGTGTACTTGGATGACGTGGTATTTTTCGCTACATTTGACCAACATCTAGAGCGACTCCGCACAGTATCAGAAGCCATTTGTTCAGCAGACTTGATTATCAAGCCAGAAAAATG